ATTTTATCTTCTCAACAGTTGCTAGACCGTTATCTAATATTTTCTTTACCGGTTTGCGTCAGTCGGTTTTCCGGATAAATGAATCACTCGGAAGACGAACTCGACGCCTCTACTTTTCACATATTTCACGATCCCGGTACCAAAGCATTAATCCCTAACCGTTCTGAAAGCAACCGATTTATCTCGATAGAGAGTTCAGCAAAGTTCCGTCGACTTTGATCCTAGAAAGCCTTTGGCATCTCGTAAGATCCCGATGTTCCTCGAGCCCGCGCCACTTTCTCGTATGTTCCCTTAAAAAATTGCAGTTTTCATGAAGTTTCGTAATACCATATTTCACACGCGACACGCGTACAATGTCCGCACACGTTCTAGGGCTAAGATGGTCACCAAGAAAGTATCCGTTCAGAAGATTTCGTTCCGAATGAGATAGGCTGACTCGATGAGGAGCGTTTACGAGTCTAAAAAGGGCTGCTTCTTTATGACTTCTCGAGCGTGATACGTCGAAGTAGGTTGCCGAAGTAGTAACCAGGGTTTGGTCTTTGTCCCGTCACTTTTCATCTTCTCTGTTCGATCGATGAAGCTGCCTTTCGCCGTCAGGGCGACTCCTGTGAACGACAGGTAGAAGGCCACCTTTACGTCGCAATAAAGAAAGAAATATTTGCCGGCGGACAGAAAGTCGTGGACTAAAATAGACGTAACGCCGCCCGGTGTGGCGAAGGTGACTGCGAAAGGTAGCTGGAAAACGCGCCATCAGCCCTCTGCCTTTCGTCAGAACCGGAGGGAGAAGAATTCATCCAAAGCAGGTCGTTTGCTCGGTGACTTAGTTCAGAAATTCGAGGAGTTATTATTCCATTACTCCAAGTTTCCCTCGAATCCAGAGTTTCGCAGATGTCTCGTTTGTTTGGAACAGTACTCTGAAGAATTGCAAGTTTCCTTGGCATAATAGGTTCTTCTCTAACCGACTTAATTGCTTCTGGTTTATGTACACTTTCCTAACGTTCTATTACTAGCCCTGATTAGGCTTACTTTTTATTTAACGAGTGAATCGGCGACTAACTCGACCTTGCAGGTTAGGTCTAGAATGGACTCTTTGTGTAACCTATTTGCTAGGTCCAGCTTCGACGTAAATTGATAACGTGTCTAACTTTTCTTCTTTAGAATGCTTCATTATGAAGTGATAATTCACCATGTCAAAATAAATATGTAACAGAGACTAAATTGTATGTAAGGACAGTAGTTGAATTACTTTCGAATGTGTACATTTCACAATAAGTAGGAGAGAGTAGGATAAGAATTATCAGTACAGAAAATGTTGCATAATGCAAGCAATTATCACATTGAATTCATAATATTGACCAAAAAGTTACGATTTCCTAACAATGTTAACCCTTTGCACTGTGGTTGTTACAGGAAAATAGTAATTCGAAGACTTTCTGTCATAAAGTCGACGATATTTCTAAAACGATAAATAAGAAATCGTATGCAAATTAAGACGTAGAATTATTTTACTTCGATATTCCACGCATTGTTAAGTAATTGTAAATTTGATGTATTAATTAACATTCATCTTTAGAATTTGATAAAATGGCGACTGAGAGACGCCTCTCGAGTGCAGAGGGGTTAAAATTAAAATATCTCCTAAACCAATGATTTTTTAACATAAATAGGTTAATACTATTTTGGTAGAGAATATAAAGGAGCATTAGCTGATGCAATAAAAAATATATAATTGCATTTTAAAAAAAATATTAATGACCTTCGTATGTCCTTTACACGTCCATCTACAGAAAAAAGTAGCACTATCAGAATATGCCTCTCTCAAATCCATTTAACTTCATTCGAAACATTTCTCGCTATACGTAATAATAATGACGTATATCTAGATGGCAATATGTGGTGACCCACCCTGTATATATATATATATAATAGTACCTAGACAGAAGGTACGAAAGATTAACGACGATGTTATAATTCAAGCACAATATCTGCTGTGAAATTAGTCGAAAGGAAATTTATGTCTCGTCATATGGTACACACAGTGCAGTAAAGGGTTAAATAATACCTTGCACCTTTGCCACCCTTTCGTTTCAAATTATTTCCATAAATCTCCATGAAGCCTCCACCTCCTTGCCAACTCTCCTTCTTCTCTGTTAACCCCAGTAATTACCGATGTCGCGAAATTCTGCGGACAAAACACGACTCCAGTAGCACTCGAGTAGTGCATAGGTCGTCGCGAAGTGTAACCCAACTCGCAGGCCGAAAAACCAGTCACAGGGGGTAGGCCACCCCGTCGTTCCAAATGTTACAGAAGGGTGTTCGGTTATAGGTATATTATCCCCTTTCTCCCTGCCGGCATTCATCCGTGAGTCATCGACTCGTACTCACCCCCGGGTGTGACGTCATTTAGACATCCCTCACCCCATCCGGGGTCTACCATCAGAAGCATGTCATCGTTCGGTTATTATGTAAGGGAAGCCTGAAATCGTTCTCCCGAGGATATTTCCTCGATGCAACCGCGATATTTCTCTCGATAATCTTCTTCTCTATCGAATTCGACGAATTCGGAAGAGGCTTGGATGGGGTGGATGGAACGAGAGTCTCGATAGCGGGTGGCCTGGCAGAAGGATGGAAAATACAGGGTGATCGCTCGCTAGTGAACTTAAAGACCGGACTCATAATACAGGATGATTGGCTGGCTAATGGACTGAGAGACGGTACCTCTAGCATGATTGGCTCGCTAGTGGACTCAGACAGTACCTACAGGCTAATTAGCTCTCCAGTGGACTCAAAGAAAGCGCTGCCTATTTAGAGAACCTTGTTACTCGAAGCACTCGCACATAGACAAACGTAAATGTAGTCGCTGCACACGTGCAATCATCGCGCAAGCACAGTGGGCACGATCGCGATGTTAGGCTGTAAAATTGCTCTATCGTGTTCAATATCGTTGTTTTTGGGTCCACTAGTTGGCGTATCACCCCGTAGATACTCCGGTGACGAACTATCGACGGGACTGGTCCTCGAATCGAGAGATCGTTAAAATCGTCCCGCGCCTCTGTAGCCGCGCGAGTTCTTCCACTTCCGCTTCCACCCACCCTGCAGCTGAATGCATCGTTTAGTTATTGTCGAGTCCCATTCTCTTCTGCCTTGCGTTTTCGCCCTGTCGCCGATCGAACGAGAAGGGGAGTGAATTGCGACGATGAAGGGTAGAAGCTTGCGATCGCGAACAAGGAGCAGCGTCTGGCTGACTACAAGGGTGGAAATATTGGGGTTCTGATTGAATCCGTTTAGGCGAATTCCGCGTTTCGATCGGGTTTATTCGATTGGCTTGGGTTTTTCGTTAACCCTTTCGCTTCGAGCGCCGCTTAAAGATGGCTTCCATGAGATGACATGTGGGTACGAGCGTCGCATATAGGTGGCGTCCACGCGAATACTCCTGGATACGGGCACCCCATATATCCGGCATCAAAATAATACGTATACAAATGCAATCTGTATACGATTGTCTTATTCAGCACAGTTGTTATTTAAGATTTAGGAATTCATACAGAAATACACAAAAATCACACGCACTGTGCATATTTTTGGCGCGCACTTCAATTCAGTGACGGTACCTTGGCGGACTGTACTGCTAAAGGGTTAATGTTTGGGTTATTTTCTATTTATTTTTTCTCTGTCCTTTTTGAGGATGCAATATGGCTGCAACGATGTGCATGATTTCTGGGGCAGACGTAGGTTGGGTAAAAATAACGCGACCCATGGTATACCGGAATAGAAAATGCCGTGCAGTTCCTTGAACATTTTTCCGTGCTCTGCGTGCTTCAAAGTGGTAGAAGGAAAACTGGCAACTCTATAGTTCGTGGGGTAAACTAATCTATTTTGGATGCTATGCTCAAAGAGTAGAGTGGTATTACGATGTTGTTTTATCGCAGTTAAACGAACTGGAAAATTCTACTTTTGACCACTTTTATGAACTGAGCTGTATTTACTCCCATGGTACTTGAGAATTTTTCCATGCCACGGATACGAGGATGGAAAATAATCGAAGGATATTTCGATGTTGCTCGACGGGAAGGAACTAGAAAATTCTATTTCCGAGAACTCTTCCCACGGTATTTCATTTTTCCCTCTCGTGGAATTCCATGCACAGGCAAGGCCGCTCGCAAGAGTCAGTCATTGCTCTTAGCACGTCCAGTGTCAAGTACGAGATATCTCGTGCTAAAGTTGTGCACCACGAGTGCCTGCTGTAAGATCCTGCCTTTTTATTCGAGTGATTATAAACTCTGCACGGGACCTACATTTACGATCACTCTTAATTAAACTTCGCGAAATTCTACGTCCTCTTAAACCGAAATTTTCCTAATCTCCTTTCGAACTTTCCTCTTTAAACAAGATTCTCGCATCAAAGCCAAAGTTCGCTCGTTCATTCGCGTTCGTACACCCCAATCACTTTGATGTAATCTTCAAATGAACCGAACATAATCGAGATCCGAATGTCACCGATTTTCCCCTCGGATCTTCGTTTCGCTAAACACGAGCTTCTGGCAACGGTAAAAAATATGAGAGAAAGGGGGGAAAAATGGGAATAGCGACACGCATTCACGTCGTTGCATTGCGCGTGACGTCACGCGCGGAGTGCAGGCCCCCATTGGGAATGCATGTCGCATTATCATTCAAGGCGGTTCACGAGGTTGGGGAATGAGAAATAATGCCGTCGACACGGTTCCTTTCAGCCACGGGTAAACACACCATCCGCCCTTTTTCCTCCTTTCTTTTTTTTTTTTCTTCTTTTCACCCCCTCTTTTCCTTCCATTTTCTCTTTCTCTGTCTTTATCACTCTCTGCCGCTCTCTTCCTCTTTCACTAGCTCTCTTTCTTGCATTCATCTGCATCTCTCGGTCGCAGGAGAGATTAATAGACGAACGACTTGGTTGAATGCATCAGCGATTTAACGAGTCGCTGCTCCGATAATTTCCTTGACTCAGTATTCCGATTCGACGCCAGACGTACACGGGATCCATACTGGTGGCTGTGAACCCATACAAAGAGGTGGACTTCTACACGAACGTGAGTATATATTGGAATCGTTGCACGTGATTATCTTTAATGCGGCGTACTCAAGACGAGCGCTAGACTCTTTTCTCTCTGTACCTCTCGGTCGAGACGAGCGATTCGATCGGCCAGCATAGTGGTTTATGAATGGAAATTCGGCTTATTGCGCGGTCAGGAGTAATTGGCTGTATTAATAAAACGAGCTACGGGGTGGGAAGCTTCTCAGCGACCACAGGGGTGAAATGGCGGTCAGATACTACGTGCTTCCCCTAGATAAACGAAAGTTCTTCTGGTTTCCGTAGAATTTTTGTTTCCGTGAGTTTTTATGACTTGGTAAATAGTAGTGAATAGTAGTAAATAATAATAAATAGTAGTAAATAGTAGTAAATAGTAGAGTGCAAGACAATCTGACAGTTCAGTCTAAGACAGTCCATCAGTCAGTCTAAGAATGTCCAAAGTCTAACAGTTTTCAGTCAAAGATAGTGAGTCAAAGTCTAAAGTCAGTTTATAAAAGTCAGAAAGATCAGAAGAGAGTGTTCATAGCGAATCTCTCTTGTTTCATAGTCAGCCTCGGTCATTCTATTTATAAGCTTATTTTATTGTATTAAGAAGCCAAGAATACTATCTTAACTCAGTCTACCCAAAATAGTAGTAAATAGTAATAAATAATAGTAATAGTAGTAAATAATAGTAAATAGTAGTAAATAGTAGAATTGTCAAACTTTGACTAAATTTCGTAGATGGTGATAATTCAGGTACACCAATAAGAACAGATACAAAATATTTCGCCTAAAAGCCCCTTAAAAAAAAATACTTTTTAGTAACGTAGCAAATAATTGAATTTAAACTAATTTCAAATTATTAATTTTAAATTAAATTTTTTAATTTATGATGCACGTATAATTCTCGAAATGAATGTGACACAATTGATAATAGAATTGTGCTATGCGTACTTATAACGTGTACCTAAATATTGGTGATAATTGAGGTACACTAATAAGAACAGATAGAAAATATTTCGCCTAAGAGCCCCTCCAGAAAAATACTTTTTAGCAACGTAGGAAATAATTGAATTTAAAATAGTTTTGACTGAAAATTAATTTTTTGAATTCATGCCGCATTTAAACCGCAAAATTTTAAATATTTCGAAACGAAACACACGTGACTTGGCCACTTTCATAATCACCGACACATACGTATAATTCTCGAAATGTATGTTAATTCTAGTACGCGTTTTCAGTACCTGGAAAATTCGAAACCAGTCGTTTTAACTGATTCGGTAGTTCCTGCGTTAAGACCGTTCTACATACAGTAGCTCGCGAAAGTGCTCGTGCGCTGTACATATTTTATGGTAGCACTCTAACTCAAAAATTCTCGCTTTAATGGAAGCGTGTCTAAAGCATAACGAGTTTCACATGGATGAATATTTTCGCGTAGGTAAAATCGTTACTCGGAGTTACAGCCCGATCTCTGTTCTTTTTTCAATGTAACGGAATAAGATAGAGCAAACTTTTAAAATAAGAAGAATATTTCATTTTTGAAGCTCTTTTCACGTCGAAGGAACAAATTCTTCTCGAAAGACCCCATTTAAGAAGCAGGAAAATCATTAAAACTTTAACGGTTGATTTTACCCCATGAAAGTCGTGTCCTCCCGACAAAAATTCTCGCTTTAATGAAAACATGCCTAAAGCATAACGAGTTTCACACGACTGAATTTTTGCGCATAGGTGAAATCGTCACTCGGAGTTACAGTCCGATTTCTATTTTTAATTATAACTAAATAAAATAGAGCAAACTTTTCAAATAAAAAGAAAGTTTTATTCTTAAAGCTCCGTTCACATCGAACGTAGAAATTCTTCCCGTGAGACTCCATTTAAGAAGCAAGGAAATTATTAAAACCATAATCGTTGATTTTACCCCGTCATGTTCTGCCGACAAAAGAATCACTCTGCGTGTAACTCGTTATGCTTTACGTGCACGCAAGCTTTCATTATTGTCAGGATTTTTGGGTCAGAGAATTCCGTTGAAATATCGCTTTCGAACGCTTTCGCGAGCGACTGCATGTCGCAAAAGAACCATTAATACGCGTCCAGTTCGCGTTGCGTTTGCTGCTGAATTGAAGCAACAATCACAGTGCCGCGGTTGCTGAAATGCGCAATTACTTACGCACTTCCTGCGTCAAATGTGTACAGGAAGTACCGTGAAAGAATAGCAAATATTAAACACAGCGGCTGCCTCGAGGAACAGAGAAGGCTGCACGTGCCTAACCCCTCGTCTCCACAAGTAATAATTGGCTTCTCCTTTCGTATACAATTAAGAACTTGGTCACGAATGTCATGAAAGTTTCATTATTAAATCGCGACCGTGAATGAGCCTTGGAAGCTTAATTTTATTCTCATCTCTCGTTATTAAACAACTTCGCCAGGAGCAAATTTAAAGGACAGTCCTTATCAGCGACTCGCCTGATAAGAGGGTAGGTCGAATTCGTTGCTTTTAAATATAAAATATTCCCCGAGGATGATTAACAGTAGAAGGAAAATATTTTTAATTTACTCGGAATAATTTATCGCGATGTTCGTTTTTATTCCACTCGTTTCATTCGACACGCAAAACGCGCGACAGGACGTCTTTATCGTATTGAAATTGCTAGGCCTCGGCCTGAAAACAGGAAACGGAAGCCGCGACGTGCTTTCGCAGAGATATCGCGAAACGAACGATCAACTCTTGAAGGGTTTTCTAGGTCACGGTACGCTACTGCCGACGAATCGATGCGTAATCCCAGGGGTTGAAACGGGTGTAGAAAGCAACTGTCGATCATCGCATTGTAGCAAACTTCTTTTCGTGACAGGAGAATCAGAATAATACAACTAAAGCGATGTTAAAAAATGTCTCATCCTTAATTAAAGATGTCGGTCTTACGTTGCTTCTTTGCTGCCAAAATTCTGATAAAAATCCTCTGCCAACTCGAATCAGTATCGATTTCGCCACGTCTTATAGATGAACGAAGGTATTACGTGTTCGATGGTGCCTAGGTTCCGCCGAATCAGAATAATACAACCAAAGTGATGTCAAAAAATATCTTATTCTTGTCGGCTTTACGTTGCTTCTTTGCTGCCGAAATTCTGACAAAAATCCTCTGCCAACTCGAATAAGTATCGATCTTGCCACGTCTTATAGATGAACGAAGGTATTACGTGTTCGATGGTGCCTAGGTTCCGCCGAATCAGAATAATACAAGCAGAGTGATGTCAAAAAATGTCTCATCCTTAATTAAAGATGTCGGATTTACGTTGCTTCTTTGCTGCCGAAATTCTGGCAAAAATCCTCTGCTAACTCGAATCAGTATCGATTTTACCACGTCTTATAGATGAACGAAGGTATTACGTGTTCAATGGTACCTTGGTTTCGCCGAATCAGCGATATTCTTGTGTTCAACTCGAGAATCCTGAGCGCGGCCTAATAGCCGGACAGAGTGTGCCTCTTACGAGGCAGAGGCCAGTTAAGGACCATCACAAGAGGTCTTGACTGCAGACGCGTTAGACACGTCTGCACTACAGGACCCATACCTCGGGCGTGTACGCACAGGTACACGGGACTAGGCCCGCAGCCTTTCACCTTGACCCGAAAGCATCATCAACCCAACGACGTCTCAACGAACTCGGAACATGTCCATATTAGACAGTGAAAGACTTTTAGAGCAGAAAGTGAGTTACCAAACTATGAAGTCATCGAATACACTTATAGTGATTACAGTGATACAGCGATTGCAATTGCGATTGCGATTACAAAGCGATAAGGATCAGCGCAGTCATTACCAAGTGATAAGGAAGAGCGAAAGAACGAAGAATTTTTATACCTCGCTCTAAATTAAGCAGGCTATCCCTAGGGTAGGAAGCATGCATAATGAACTTGGTCTAGGTATCTGTCGCATAATAACTGAAGATTATGGTGTCCCACGTAGCCCAACGTCTCGCTCGAGGTATTTGGACGGGGAAGGAATTTACGAAACGAAATACCACGTAAAATACGACGCGGGATACGATACGAATACGAAAGGGATGCAAAGAGAATACGAAAACAGGGATAAAAGTCCAAGAAGTCGGAGAGTCAACTGAATGAACCGACACGGAATCAAATTCGCACATAACGAATGTTTTATGTGTTGTTGTGTGAAACCATGTCGTATGAGACCTAAACATACTACAAAAATAGGGTTACGTTCCGAAAACTTACTAAAAACAAATTTTTTTTAGAGTCTACATAAACAACTTAATTTTTATTAAAAATATAAATATATGTACAACACAAAACAAATATTATTTTAATTTAATGCAACTTTAATTTAATAAATTTCTTCGTTGTTACTGCTCATGTAGAAGTACAGTGTTGTACAAAGATTTTTGCAATTTTCTTATTGTGTTAGAGCGAAACCGTGTTGTAGAAGGGTTCCCGCAATTTATGAATCGTGTTATAGGATGCCGTGTTGTATGGAGGGCTACCTGTATATAATCTTCGAATTTCCACTCTTCTCTAGCCAAAAAATTGTCGAGTGTAAAGGGTTTAAAGTTCAAAGTCTTGCAATTGCAAAATATCCAATTGTCACTTCGGCTCACTTAGCAGTTGCAGTGTCAATAAGACAGTTATATAGATCAATATAGACGGGGGTACGTTGTTACAAACTCGAGCTAAAATACTTCCAACGTTCCCGAGAAGATATCCCAAGTTGCCTGGCGTCATCTTCGAAAACGCTTCGGGAAGGCTCGCAGCAAATTGTTTCCTATCTGACCTGAAAGAGGCAGAGACGCGTTCCCCAGTGGCCTGGCGTATCCTCGATAATCGTACGGCCAACCACTTTTCTTCTTTTCCCCCGATGAGTCGGTTTAATCTCTATTTCGAGGCGCGCGAGCATCGGGCTTAAAACCATCGGCGGCGTTAACGCGCGTATCAGCCTGGCTGAATTAGGGTGCAGCCTGCGTGAGGACTTATTTCGGGATCGAGTGGCAGCCACTTCGTAC